CGGTCTACCTACAAACACTGTGAAAAGCCTTGGAGTAATTACGTCTCCATGCTTCAGGACTGATGAAGACGTCGAGCATCCGGAGTGCGCTTCCTCCAGCAGCAAGATACGTCATCTGTCGTTGCCCTGTTCGGCAAGTGCTTGGTTCGAAAATGGCAGTTTCGACTCCTTCGAGAGCTCCAGTTATTGGTTCAGGCTAAACATGCTGTCTACTGTAATACAGTACAGATGTATCTGAATCCTGCCCGTGTCACCGCTCGTTCCTCACCCAATCGCTTAATAGTCGTTTGGCTATGATCAAGATCAGCACCCAACTGGTAAATAATCGAGAGCAACAGTATGGGACGGCATTCTTTGGCTATTCAGTACCGTCGTTGTGCATAACGGAATCGTAACCAATTCTTTATTTTCAAGTATCGACTGAACCTCTGCGCAGGGATTTTTCAGAGTTTCTGTCCATCTCTTCCTGTAGCCTTCTTTCGTTTCGTCTGGTTAGCTACTCGCGAGGACGAGGACAGTAACTGCTTTGTCTTCCAAAAGTCGGACTGATGATGGCGGGATGTTTAATTTTAAAGCAAAGCGCAAGTTGCAAAATTCGCTACAGCTCGCTTCCATTCCAACCATGTGTGATACTGTTTCAGCTTGACTCTTCAATGACGCAACAATTGGTCTGTGGAGCGCCAATTCCCTCATACATCTAATGAGGTTACTGCGATCTTTCGCTGTTTTAATTAGTTTCTCGTTAATTGACGTCTTATAAGCATGCAGAGAGCTGAGTACTCCGTCGTCCAACTGCCGTTTTTCTTCATGGTTCTTCTCTTTTCTGACCACCTTTCAGTTGTCCCTGAGCTTCTTCGCACGTTTCTGTTGATCTTGCCACATCGGCTGCTTTCACGCCTCGCTTGAGTTCGCCGGAAAAGTTCTCGTACTCTCCGATGCTTTCCTTAGGGCTTCTGACTTCGAAGGAAATAAGCGTTTTAAGGATTTCATCATTTACCTTTTAATTCACTGGTCTACAATTTTCCATCATGTTCCACCATCCATAACGCCCTGTCCCCTAGTTTTTCGTTGAAGGCAAGTCTCTCCCTGCATAAGCAATGGTCACTGCTGACGTTCACGATGAAACTACTGACAGATACCTTACGTAAATACCGTACTTCAGTTTTACTGCACTTAACAACGAACTTTTGACCTTTATCCATCGCTGAACTTACGCTCTGAAAGTACATGCGGATTTTTGAGTCCGTGTTCTTTCAAGTTCCTGAAAGAATTCCTTCATACTGCTCTCTTTGTTTACACTTATCAGAGTGTAAGTATCTTTTGATATAAATGATGCCCTCCCCTCATTCGGCGCTGCTCATTTTGAAAAGTTACATTGTTCCCCGTCAATAATAATGATATGGTAATTATTTTGAACGTGGCAGTATGTCATTAACGAAAACAGTACAAAATGCGGTTTATTTATACAAAACGCAACAAATTGGTAAACCGGACGATTGACCATTACCGACAACTAGACCTGCGTCTCACAGTATTTCTTCAAAGTAGAGAGGTGGACTATGATTAAGTTAATGTCTTCCGTATGACCACTAATGCACAAATCAAATGCTGACCGTATTACTGATGAATTAATGACTGCCTCCGTTGCCACGAATAACGATATCAGATTTCACAGGGTTAGAAACGATGAAAGAGCGGAAGTCAGTTGCGGTCCCTTTTCCTTTGTCTGTAAGGTCGGCGCTGATTTAGAGTGGTCCCTAAATGGCAGCGTTACTCAAACAGTGAGGACGACTTCTGTGAGTTACAGTTTTATGAAGTTGTTCTACCTATCTCTCAAAACGGCATGAGTTTAAGGCCACATCTGCTGCTGAATCGGCCATATAATAAGGATTTATTCTGTTTTTATGAGAGCCGATA